TCTGTCTATAGAGGTGTTGGTTCTCATTGTTACCCTTGCTGTTCCTTCTCACAAAGTCCTAAATAATCTTATTTCTTTGCAGCTTGTTGCACAGCTTCCAAAGCAAACATTCATCTTAAGTGTGGAGCTCAGAGCAGGTGTTCTGTCTCTGCTGCTGTCAGATGTCTTTCGGTACAGCATATGACTGTGGTAACTGGATGTCATTGTTTTCCTATAGGAAACCATGGCAACTGTCAATGACAAGTCAGGGGTTGCTATGAATAAATCTTTTGTGAAGGGTATTTTTGTATCATACATGGAGGACACTGAAGAGCCTCATAACCGACAAGCATCAGCTAGGCACGGAAATGAGAGAGTTCATCATAAGCAGGTCTTTATTAACCTTTCTCCTGTACAGAGTGGGTGTCCTGCTCAAGGCTGAGGTCTGGGAGTTAAGACAAGTAGCTGGAGCTAACGTTACTGTACCAGAGACGTTTTCCCAGCAAAGGCTGAGGGAGAACCGAGACCTTAAGTATGGCTGCAAGGAGGTGGATGTGCAAGTCCTGTCCTTCCAAGAATGGACTACTGGCTCTCAAAGATGCCATGCCTGGTTATGGAGGGGAGTACTCTGACAGGGTTGGGGTGGTTCAGGGCTTTGTGAGGCTTGAGGACTCAATTAGAGGAGACCTCACGTGCTACAGTAGGCTCTAGGGTTGCCAAGTCGTTTATACTCACCGGCGGGGGACTGTCCCTGGGCTCCACGAGTCGCTGCGGGACGTGCGCATGCGTCGCCTGCATGTCACAGGAAGTGACGCACGACGTAGAGCACGTTGGGGGCGTGGCCCCGATCGGTAGAGGGAAAACCATAGAGTTTTCCCTCTGCTGATCGGGGCCACGCCCCCAACGTGCTCTATGTGATTGTGTCACCTCTGGTGACGCAGCCACACTGCGCTTCGGGGGGCGGAGTTCCCCCCGGGGCCCGATTCTGCGGTGGCGGAAATCGGGCCTCCAAAGCGGGGGTTTACCCTCCCCCACTTGGCAGCCCTAGTAGGCTCTGAGGTAGAAGGTTTAGGGTCCAAGGCTGAGTCAGAAGGGAGGGCTGTTTCGAAGGGTAAAAGAGCTGACTCAGGCCTCCTTTTTCAGTAGTGTCAGATGTTCAGATGCTACCTCAGCTGAGTTCTCTGCAGGCCTGTAGCTATGATGGGGCTTTTAGGGGCTCCTCCCCCTTTCTTAAAGGCATAGCCTCTCAAGAATGTCTCCTGTAAATGCTTTTTTCAATCATTTTAAAGCATTTTTTTAAAGGCATGCACTCCTTTACGCAGAATGCGGTGCTGTAGTTGACTAATTCCCGCATGAGCAAGGAGGATGGAGTAGGTGACCTCTGGGATCCCTTCTAACTGTGTCAAGAAACTGGTCTCTTTTAAGAGAGTTTTTCTGCCTAAGTGTTAGCTTTCTTGACTATAGAAGTCATCATCTACCCTACCTGCCAGCTTGTTATCAGAATTGTTGCTTAGGCTGGCAGAAGTGATTAACTTGCAGCAGCTGAGAACTGTCATCTAAAGTGGCCGATAGCTTGCAATTTAGAGATCTACCCTGGTAACAGCTTTCTATTGGCTAAATGGCTTTTCTTTCTGCACTGAGAACTTCAGCCCCACCAGAAAAAAATTTTGCCTCACAAGCCACAAAATCCTGGCTACGGGCCTGGTTCTCCAACTCTGTGTTTGATGAGAAGTCTATACTCTGGTCCATGATAGTAGGCCTTCTGCCAGGTTGATGGCCCTGATTCTTTGGTCCACATCCACATATTTTCCTATGTGAAGACTAGTGGGATTCCATTTAAATTCTGTATAACATAGAGTTTGATTAGTATCATAGGGCAGGGGAACATTGGCTTAAATAAATAAATATAACCTATAGTTCAGATCCTGCCTAGATTTCTGCAAGTATAAGTATGGGGGGGGGTAATATTTGCTGATCCCCTCCTCTTTTGACAACACAAAAGACCCCCTGAAATTCTGCTTTGGGAGGATGAGAGACCCCCCAGATATAGCTTTGGAGGAAGTGGAGACCTCTCTTGTGGGGGGACTGAGCAAAAATCACATTCCTTGCATCCACAAAAACCTAGATGGGATCCAAGCCTATGTATGTATTGCAACTTGCAAAAACATTCTGAGGTAGTTCATAGCGCTGAAGCAGATAATCAGTAAATGGTTCATCTTTAAACAGAATCAATATATAAATAATACTGTAAAATACACTAGGAAAAACACTACCAGAGTCAATTAGTAAGTAGCAACATTAAAATAAAATGGTAATTTAATAGTTACTTATGTATTTACTTTCATGTAAGCCACCCTGAGCCTGCCTCGGCGGGGAGGGCGGGGTATAAATTGGATAAATCAATAATAAAATAACTAAAACTAAGTTTAAAAGAGCAATTTATAAAAAAGGTAGCCACAAAATGTATTTGGGGGTTGAAAGGTGTATAAAAGTTTTAAAAGATGTCAGAGCTAGCAGTAACAAGAAACAGCAAGAGCCACAATCAAGTAATCTGTAAATTCCTGGGCAAACAAGATAATCTAGTGCCACAGGCAGGAAGCCAAAACCAAGACTCTGTCTTTAATAGCCTGTCCTTATCTTTGAAGGGGGAGATGTGTGTAACAGGGCCTGCAGTGCAGGACATAGCTTTCAGACAGCCTCCTATGGGAATAGGTGGTCTTTTAGATACCCCTGTCCCAGACTTTAAAAGCAAGAGCCAGCATGTTGAGTTGAACCTGGACACAAATTGGCAGCCAGTTATGTTCTTTAAGCCCTGGGGGAAGATATAATGTGTACCTGCTGCATTTTGTGCTAACTGCAGTTTCTGAACTGTCTTCAGTCCACTTAGAATATATTGCGTTAATCTAACTTGGAAGCGATGAGGCCCCACTGCTCAAAGAGGCACATATTGTTATTGGAAAAGAAAAAATAGAAATCTCATGGTCCAGCCGATACAAGGAGCATAAATTGGATGCACTTTACCAATGGAAAAGAGCCAGGGGTAACAAGAATCAACAGAAATCTGGTATTTAGATCCACTAAAAATGTTACTGTAGGGATGTGCAGGTAAGAATGGCGAGCGGTTGCACATGTCCAGTAATACAAGTTCAACATAAAAACATTTGAAAAGGAAAAACAAACCCTGACTCTGGTTGTCATGGATAATAGGACAGTGTTGTTCAGACCAGTACCAGGGAAGGGTACAAGCTTCTGAACAGTTCTTTTAAAAATCCAAACCAGGACATGTCATTTCAACAGTGCCATAGTTCAGGAGTGGTTCTAGCCAACAGGCAACACCAGCCTTAGCCCCATCCACCCAACAGAGGGCAGAAAAGAAGAAAAACAGGCTCCCACGATTGCCACTCTCACTTGTCCCAACCAGGGCTCAGGTTGCCCGCTTACAGGGACAGTCACTTGTACCTTCCCTGCCCGGGACTTGGGTTGCCAGCTCAGCAGTGGCCACTTGGCCCACTCTGTCCACGGCATGGGCAACTGGCTTTCAGCTGGTGGCTCTCACTGGCCTCATGGGGTTAGGGCTTCCCCTTGTTTGGCCCTGGCAAGGGGTCTCTGGTGGGGGGGATAGCAGTGATTCTGTGGCTCCTTCCTGTACTTTTGTCCAGGGCCCCACAATCACTAAGATCTCCTCTTTAGGGTTACAGGGCAGACCTTGCCCCGTGTATTAATTGGGCAGCAGGGATGACAGTTGTAGAGTATGTGGTTTATGTGCAATCCTGATTCAGTTCCTGGCATCTTCGTTTACGAGGATCTCGGATTGCGGATGTTGGACAGGATAATTGCAATGCAACAGAGGGTGGTATCTAAGTTCTTCATCAAAAGTGAGTGAAAAAATGTGTTCCAGATCAAATAGCTAGTGTGGAAGCATCATGGATATCGCTCCCAATGTGATCATCTCAGTCATATACAGATAGAACTATTGAATAAAAAGGCACCTCCCATTTTTGTATTACCTTTATATAGTGAGAGATCTAACTTGAACTCTCACTTGGATAATTGAGAATTTCAGCTTCTTGATTTGCATGTGTAAGTAAAGCACTCGACATAATTGCTGCTATGATGTCAGATACTTTTTTAAAAATTCAACATATTGTGTTGCTTTATTTCCATGGAAGGATGTGCTGCCATGCATGTGAGAGGCATATATATACCTAGCAATTTTAAAATTATGTTAAGAACATAATACATAAGAGCCCTGCTGGATCAGACCGGTATTCCATCTAGTCCACCATCCTGTCTCACACAATGGCCAACCAATTCCTCTGGATGGCCAACAACAGGACATAGAGGCCGAGGCATGGGCATGATGTTGTCTCCTGGCTCTGGGATTCAGAGAATTATCCTGCATGAGTATCTAATCCCCTTTTAAAGCTGTTTTTTCCTGTGGCCACCACTACATTCTTTGGCAGCAAATTCCACATTTTAATCACTTTCTGGGTAAAGTAGTATTTCCTTTTGTCTGTCCTGAACCTACTGCCCATTAGCTTCATTGGATGCCCTTGGGTTCTAGTATTTTGGGAGAGGGGGAAAAAGTTTTCTTTGTCAACTGTCTCCACCCAATGCCTAGTTTTATAAACTTCTATCATGTTCTCCCTAAATTGTCTCTTTTCTAAAGTCCCAGACTCTTCAGCCTTTCCTCATAGGGAAGGTGCTTCAACCCCCTAATCCTCTTGGTTGCCCTCCTCAGTACTTTTTCCAGGTCTGCAATGTCCTTTTTGAGATATGGTGACCAGAACACAGTATTCCAAATGAGGCTGCACCATAGAGTTATGTCATTTTGATTTTTGATATTGTGATTTTCTGTTTTTGTAAAGGCTTCCTGTAATGGAGGCCAGTTGTCATTGCTCACAATGTGAGTTTCCTTCAGTAATTGCTTCAACTTGTTGATAAACAGCTGAAAACAGTGTCTGATAGATACACTTCCCTCTGAATGTAGAATGTTGTTCTGTCCTGTGTTTTCTTTGTAGGATATCAATAACTAGAGTGACAGCTGACATTTCTCTTGCGAAGAGGTCTGTTCTTAATAATCCAAGCAAGAGAGCAATAATTGAGAGATCGAACACCAGATCCAGTTTAGGTAAGATGTCAGTGCATCACATTCTAGCACTTGATGCACAGGGGGTTTTTTTTTGGGGGGGGGGGGAATGTGCCACATTTCAGACCAAAAAGATGCTAGTTCCTTGACCCAAGATCAAAACGTTTTTATACCTTTGCTTCCCCTTTCAGGTCTTCCTTGCATGTAAATCTGCCTGTACTTCATCTTACTTTGTATTTTTTTTGTTCACCAATGAGATAACTCCTCACTGTGAATTGTGTGAGGACCTCTGCAAGATGGTATATTGTGCAAAAAGGGGGGTGCTTTTCAGATGAATCCCTGCATCCCTGTCCGTGCAGTTTTGTGTTGCCTGAGATCAGGAATAGGTTGGCACGAAACAATGACAAAGGAGGGTTGCATAGAGCTCTTTGTTGGAAGTGTTTGGCAGAGTCAGATTATTGAACAGGGCGAGGTGAGGGCTAATTCACACATGATAAAGTCCTCGTGTCCCACACATGGCTGAATGACACACATGGTCAGGGAGTTTAATTCTTGAAACTTAATTCCCAGGTATATGTGGACCCAATTTGGATCAGTACTGCAGTGCCTCAGGAGAAAAGACTTAAGCCTTCCCCCCTGTACATTTTCCAAACTTGAAACAGCCATGGGGAACCACTATTTGCCCCATTGGGGGAACTGGCATGTAGCCATAAGTGTGTGTCAATTTCCTCAGTGAAGCAAATAGCAGTTCCCTGTGGATATTTCAGGTTGGGACAAAGATGCAGAGAGACTTAAGCCTCTTTCCCAACATACTGTGGCCCTTCACACACCTGGGAAATTCTGAGCACAGAACTCCAGGTGCACATCTGATCGTTGGGATCCAGTATCTTGGATCATCTTGCGAGGGATGGGAGGACTTGAATTGGCCCGTAGGCCTGATCCTCCACTGCCTAGCCTGTGGACTTACCCGCCAGTCCTTCCTGTAAAGCACATTTCTTTTCATTGTGTCATTGTGGTCAAGTCCCTAGTATTAGCATACATTTGATATAAGTATATAGTGTATAATGATTACAAGAATGAGAAGTTGGAAGACAAAAGGGAAATTTATGATGCATTTGTGGAAGATTTGTTAGGTGGCAATGTAGTTATTTGTACTTGCTTGATGGCGATTCTGATGTCCTCATTTTCATTTTGCAGCGGAAGTTCAGAGTGAGATAGAACGAATTTTTGAATTGGCACGGTCCTTACAACTGGTTGTTCTAGATGCAGATACAATCAATCACCCAGCACAACTTATTAAGACATCCTTAGCTCCAATTATTGTTCATGTTAAAGTGTCATCTCCAAAGGTAATATTCATTTGTGTGGTACATTTATAATTTGTATTTAAAATATTGTTATCTTTCATGCTGAATGTTTTGTTTTCCTCTCAAAAGAGCAAATTCTCACTTTAATGTCATTTTCCTTTTCAATTAAAATGGTGCCATGTTGTGAGAATAGTGCTGATCAAGTGCACAAAGGAGTATCTTAGGATTTTCCTCCGAGATAGCCCTATTGCCTTTCTACTCTGCCTGAACTTGTGCAATGACAGCACAGCTATAATTATCAGTATGTGAGAAAGTCCTACCCATCCAGATGAAGTGTAAACTCCACGTCACCTTTGGCTGATGACAACTATGTGTGTGTCATGCCTTGTCTTTGTTGCCTGGTAATTCTTAGGGAGCCCTCTGTTTCCTTTGGCCTTTTCTCTTTTTGGTCCACAAGAGAAGAAGAAGAAGAGGAGAGATTGGATTTATACCCCGCCCTTCACTACCCAAAAGGTGTCTCAAACTCCTTTCCCTTCCCCTCCCCACAACAGACACCCTGTGGGGTGGGTGGGGCTGAGAGAACTCTGACACAAACGGCTCTTTTTCAAGGACAGCTGTGCCAGAGCTTGCGACTGACCCAAGGTCACATCAGCAGGTGCAAGTGGAGGAGTGGGGAATCAAACCCGGTTCTCCCAGATTAGAGTCCACACACTTAACCACTACACCAAAGGACTCATGGGGGAGAGAAAATCCCATTCCCTCTCCCCAGTTCCTCCTCTGGCTCTGGTTCTGCTTTCCTCCATCCCCATCTCTGCCATTCCCTTGTTCTTCCTTCCTTCCCCATCACCCAGTCACTTTTGCTCCTCTACACCTGCTCTCATAATTGGTCTTCCCTCCTCTCTCATGCCTTCCCACTAATTTCTTCATTCCCACTGCTGCAGCAAGCGCAGAGGCACAAAAAAAAAATGCAGCAAGGGGGATATGAGCCAGAGCTGACTCAGGTTTCTTTTCCTCATCTGCTCCAGATGGCCATTGCCACCATGTTTTCATGAATCATTTTGGGTTGCTACAGCTGCCCAAAGTCTTTGAATTATTATGCAATGTCTGTGCATGTGCAAATGTTGCTTTTACCGTTCAGGGTTTTCTTTTATCCCCTATTTTTAAAATCAGATCCCCCTCCCCCCAACCAACCTTGGGGTGCCACTGGCTTTGCAAAACTGTAACCTGTAGCAATGACAAGTCTTTGACTATCAGGTGTAAGAAATGTCTTGGTTTTATCTCTCCCCCCCCCTCTTAATTCTGCCTTTACTAGGATAAGTGGTCCTAGCAAACATTCCAGATAACGACCAAATGTCATGGCATACATAGATGCCAACAGATAATATTTCTGGCTCCAGGCAAGAACCATAATATTTGTAAGCCGCTTACCAGTGTCACCCATTCTTAATGGCTGCTGATAAAGAGATTCTCCATGCATGTGAGCCAATGTGAATGATAAGCAACCAACAATCAATCTGAGCTCCAACTAGAATATGGTACAGAAAATAAGTCTTGGAGGCCCTGACTGATGACCTGTGCCTGCTAATCGTTACGCAGTGCGTCTCTGTCTGTTCTCCTCAGCCTAGTGATGGTGTTCAGTACCACTAACTATGGTATCCTTCTTGACTGCCTGAGCAGAATGATCTTTGGAGGCACTGTTTTTGTATGGGCACTGGTTGTTTCTGTAGGGTAGGCTGCAGAATACGGTGCTGTGGGATTTTGTTGGCCTGCGGAGTGCCTCAAGTAAATAATCTTGGCTTGTTGGTCCGTGGAGTGCTTCAAGGGAAGAGTCAAATAAATAAAAATCCATATGCTAGCACAAATAGCTGCTGCCCTGTGCCACCGTTATTTTGCCACCTCTCTGCAGGTTCTACTTCTCCTCATTTGCATCCCTTCCATGGTTACCTGACTGTCCTTTATTGGGCGGGATGTGCTCCACGTCATGGGGGAAGTGCCTGATGATTTGCAGGCATATGATAATTTGCAACCCTTTATATCAAATGAGCATGTTGACCAGCTCTTGGTGTTTCTCCACTCTGGCAGTTGAGGACTTTTGAGATGAACTTGTTCCAGAGTGTCAGCTCAGCCATGAGCTTAGCAGGAAGCCTTAGGCTGTCCATCATCTTGGCTTCTTGGCGTCATTTAGTTATTAAAAAGGGAAATAGTTACATTTTCAAGCAGAACCTGTCTTCTTAGAAGCATTTAGTATCTTAATATGCATTTGGCATATTCAGTGGCACTTAGCTACCTAGATGTTACCAAACATTCCTGTGGTGTTAATCATTGTGCCAAGTAACCTTTTCTGTTGAAACAAAAGGAATAGTAATCAAGGTGGAAGACCGGCAAGTCTTTGCAATAGCTGGGGATGCTTTTTCCTATTGTGTCACCTTAAAGTTCCCAGAGTAAAACTCTTTATACTATAATTTTCTTCCGTTGTTTGTTGAGAAACACTACAGTACTCCTAATTCTGACAAAACTAGTTCTAATTATAAGCATCAGGTAAGAAGCATATAATGAAGTCATTAAGATCCCATGTGTTTAAATAACACCCTTAACCCAAAATATGCTTTGAAACTAAAGACGGTTAATATGTTGTCAAAGGCTTTCATGGCCAGAGTTCACTAGCTGCTGTAGATTTTCCGGGTTGTGTGGCCGTGGTCTTGACATTGTAGAACCTGACGTTTTGCCAGTAACCGTGACTGGCATCCTCAGAGGTATAACATAGAAAGATGGAGTACTCTCTGTGTCAAGGTGAGAAGAAAATGGTAGGCAGGTAATTTATATCTACTCAGGAAGGTGGGGTAGGGCTAAGTCATTATCTTGTACGAGTTCCCCAAGCTATGAACATGCTAATGGAGGAGCTTTCCTGAGGAGGTTCTTTTGTATATGGATTGTTTCCTGAGGAGGTTTCCTGTTTCCTGAGGAGGTTCTTTTGTATGTGGATTGGCTGTTGAAATTCTAATCTTATCTGTAGTGCTATTGTCAGATGTAGAGCCTTTTGTGTTTTTCAGGACAGGAAACCATGCCCTATTTATTTTTAAACTCTCTTCTTTCCTGTTGAAATTGTATTTATGTTTATGAATTTCAATGGTAATTCTAACATGGTAATTGGAAGTGTTGTTCAGCCTTTCAGTGTCTTGGAACAAAATACATGTCCTGTTTGAGTTAGGCTATGTTCAGCCACTGCTGATTTTTCAGGTTGACTCCATCTTTCTGTGTTATACCTCTGAGGATGCCAGTCACAGTTACTGGTGAAATGTTAGGTTCTACAATGCCAAGACCACAGCTACACAACCTGGAAAATCTACAGCAACTAGTAAAGATGGTTATTTGTAATATCTGAAATTGTACAGCCAGCTGTATCTTTGTAGATACATATGCACTACCTGACCACACCTGAGGCAAGGCTGAAGATTTTATAAAAGTTTAGGTAGCCATCCTAAGATGCTCTGCTCAGAAGGAAGTCCCGTGTTATTCAATGGGACTTACTCCCAGATAAGTGTCCTTGGGATTGCAGCCTTAGTCATTTAAGAATGGTATTGATAAGCAAATTGCCTATGTCTTGATCTTTGGCCCTTGAAATGAGGGTAAATTACTCCCAGAGAGAGGAACAATGTAGATTGTTATGTGAGGGAGAGGTCTAATACCAAATACAGGTTACTAATAGTAGAATTCTTGATACCAAAGGCCATTATCAATGTTACATGGAGATACGTGTTAACTATAACAGGGGTCTTTTTAAAGCATGAAGAATGACTTCTGGGGCTGGATGGGGGTGAATGGTATCAGCCCATTATCAGGGGGAGAAGGTACTTGACCAATTCCCCTTTTCCCTGTTGGCTGTTTCTCTGCTCCAGATTGCCCCCCCCCCAAGCTCCTCCCCCACATTTGGGCAAAACACGTTTGGAACTTTATGGGAAGAAATGCTGCCTGGCGATTTGGAACAGAAAAATGGGTAGGCAGGGAAAGGATTGGACACCATGTCTTCTGCTGCTTCTCTGATCCCAGCTGTAACCCCCCCCCCCCAAGCATCATCTGCTGTTTTTGAAAAGGGCTATAGAGATGTTAAATGCACCTGCACGTAAAGGGTTAGATCCCTTATGGATTTTCACAAGTGCAAGGAGAATAGCTGATATTCAGTGATTCCCCCTCCTATGGCAGCTCAAAATTCTCCTAAAATGGTGTTTCTGGGGGCCAGGGAACCCCAGGAATAGGTTGGGGGAGAATCAGAGGTCTTCCATATGGGGTTTTTTGGTGAAATCCCTCTTTGACCTTGAAGAAAACTATGTGGCACCCAAGTCAAAGTGTAGATTGACTCTGAATCCTGTTCAATGTACCCATGACCTAAGGATAAGAAATTTGCTGATCTCCTTGAAATATTGTCCTTTGCTTTAGCTCTAGCATCCTGTCCCACAGTAGAAACTACAATGAGGCCAGTCTCAGTGGTATTCTGGACTGAAGGTGTTGGGGAAATAAGGAGTGCAGGAACGTTTTCATTAACTCTCATCCCCACAGTGTTCATTGGGGAGGGAGTGAAACTGGCTTCCCAATTGCAGAGAGAGAGAGAGAGAGAGAGAGAGAGAGAGAGAGAGAGAGAGAGGTTTCAAAACACCTCTTATTTTTTTAACTTCAAACCCAAATGTAAAACCCTTTAAAACATATAAGAATCTGGTATGCAGCATACAGAATTAATCAAATGCCTAAATAGAGTGCACTGTAGTTCTATAGAGGATATATCCTGGTTGTTCTGTTAAGAATAAGGAGGGCAGTTGCCCAGAACAACCACGAACAACACTAAATTCAGACATTAAATACCTTTTCCCATCCATAGGAGCTAATGTAGCTGTCAGTCAAGTCTGTTGCTAAGTATCTGACGTATACCTGATATACACAACAAAGCTCAGCCCTTTCTGTCTCTGGGGCCAGGAAAGTCAGGGAAAGCTAGGGTAACTCGAAGAGTCAAGGAAGCTAGTTACAGATACCCTATCTATTTAGAATTTGATAGTGTATAAACATTCCTAAAGGCAAAAGTCATGTGCAGGGTTATTGGTACCAGGAGGGCCACAGCACCAGCAGAGTCCTGAAGCCTCCTGGGAAACAGAACCAAAGATTCAACTATACTTTACTATAGAAATTAAAGTAACATAAGTTTAACAGAATACTGAAGCTCAATCCAGGCCCTGATTCCACGACAGGAGGCAGTGTGTGACCTTTACATATTATCATATTTTGTTGATGATAATTTATTTATTTATTTTTCACATTTATACCCCGCCCTCCCCGATGGGCTCAGGGCAGCTGAGCTAGTGCACAGTAGTGGTTAGAGTGTTTGACTAGGACCAGTAACCAGTGTTCCCTCTAAGCAGAGTCAGTGTGAGCTAGCTCACAGTTTTTTAGCCTCCGGCTCACACATTTTTGTCTTAGCTCAGGAAGGATGGCTCCACAGCAAACTAATGTATGCAGTAGCCAAATGGCTCGCTCACAACTTTAATGCCAGTAGCTCACAAAGTAGAATTTTTGCTCACAAGACTCCACAGCTTAGAGGGTGCATTGCCAGTAACACCCTGTTTCAAATCCCACTTGCCATAAAATTTACCAGGCAGCATTGGACCAGTGACTGGTTTCTTAGCCTTAATCCACCTTGCAGGGTTTTTGTGACGATAAAATGTAAGAGAGAAGCACCAAGTACACCACCTTGGAGAAAGGATAGGATAAAAATGTGCCAAATAATAAATAAATAAATGAGTCCCTGGAGATCCCTGGCCTGAAAAATATCCAGCTGTCCTCAGCCAGAGCCGTGGATTTTTCAGCCCAACCTGGTGGAACTCTCTGCCAAATGACATCTGTGCCCTGAGGGACCTAGTTCCGTTCTGCTGGGCCTGCAAGATAAGCGGTGTTCCGCCTGGCCTGTGGTTGAGGACAGCAGTGGTCTTCAATTAGCCTGGCCTCCTTCCCATGAACACCCCCTTGCAGTAAGGATAATTTGGCTATAGACGCCATCTGGAGTGGTTACTGTATTTGTTTTTAACTGTTTTTAACTTATTTACATCTGATTATGACACTGCCCTGAGCCCCAAGTATGGGGGAGGGTGGTTGAGAAAACGAATGTATAAATATAAATAAATAAAATAAAATAAAATATGTTATTTCAAATCAGAAAATAACCCAGTTGCATGTGAAGTATATTACTTGGTCCAAATTCTCTGCCAGTTTAAACATGCTGGCAAAAAGAAAGCAACATGCAGAAGTTGTGCAAATGTCATCCATCTTTTAGCAGGAACCAGAAGCTCTGTGACAGTTCTGGAAAACCCACATCGTGACTTGGTTTGGGTTGTAAATCAGGTAGCTGATCAGATGAACTCCTGAGGAGAAAAAAAATAATAATTTGAGCCAGAGGAAGCTCATAGTTGGCCAGGAAGAACCTTGAAAAATACAGGTGGAAACAAAAGGGGTGATAGTGGGAGAAAAGGGGGTGGTGGCTTACTATGAAAATACAGAAGTCACGGGAAGGCTGAATACTAACATTAAAGCCACCCAAGATGGAATATTTTTGCTTTTACTATCAGCTTTATGTTTCAAGTCCTCACATTAAAGCTTTTTCATCCTGGACCCCATCTTCCTCTTTCACCTTACCACATGTATATTTTTACTCCTTTCTCTGAACCTTCTGCCATTGTCCTAGAATCGTTTCTGTCTCCATCCTCTCTTATCTTCCCCATCTCAAAAACTACTCCTTACACCATCATATTGTAACTTGTTTGTTTGTCTCATTTGTTTAAGTAGGGCATTTGTTGTCTTGCTTTTCTCCCTAAAGTGGCTGACCCCTCCCCACAAAAATGTACAATTTAAACCAGTGAAATACCGTGTTAAAAAATGAACAGAAAAGAAACAAAATGCACTCTGACCATCCTGGCATGGGCTGCAATACACTGGCACGGTCCAGCAGTGCTGTAGGCTTTGGCCCTTAGATCCAGAGTCCTTTGGCTTGTTCCATAACACTTATGCCTCTTAGCCACACCCAGGCTACTGACCTTATGGAACCAGATAGAACCTTTGCCTACCCTGTCCTCCTCCTCCATCATGTCCTCTCTTCCTCCACTCGCTGTCTGCCCTGAATGCTCACAGATTATGTCAGATGGGCAGTACTTTTTCCCACTGTACTGTGTAGCAGTAAATGTGGGCACAATTCCATCCTGGTTTCTGCTATTGCAGAGACATCAGTTTTTAGTCCCCATAAGAGTTGTCAGGTACTGGTCCTGAAGTGATTGTCCTGACCTCTCATAAGCACAGATTCAACTGCAAAATTAGGAATTGTTACTAAGGCGCGGACATCTACTGGATAGATATGGATAGCTGGTGTACAAATAAGCCACCCCAGACCATGATAAGTAACCTCCCACTGAGTGATGTTCAAGAACTGGTTTTGGTTTGATATGTGAAGCATGGGTATGCTTTGAATATTTACTTGCTGGCAGTGGTCGGATCCTGTGAATCTGTTCCATTAACGATCCAGCTTTCCTCCATTGTATGGAATCTTCCTGTGGCAGAAGGGGCATGTTCTTCTGGAGATAAGAGCCCTTACACTGGAGGACGTTTTCACTGTTAGCAAAATGGATTCATCAGATCCAACCCCTTGTATTTAGGTTGCTGTGCGGTTTAGAAGTGACTTTGCCATTGTGGTCCTGTTATCCTCTTTTAGGTATTGCAGCGACTGATCAAATCAAGAGGAAAGTCACAAAGCAAACACTTAAATGTTCAGCTGGTTGCAGCAGATAAACTTGCACAATGTCCACCGGTAAGTACTGGGGAAGAGAGAGGTTTTTATTTTGTGAATTAGGTGGAGTATTGATGATTTGGGGAAGGTCATGGTTTTCCTATTCTCCAGCCCTCTCAGTATTAAAGTAACAAAATTACTGGAAAGCTAGGGCCTGAGGAAGCAAAACAGTTACAAAGCGGGTTTCTTGTTTGACTGGTTCCAACTTACAACATGGAACAGAAAGGCTTTAAACTTTTAACTGTTTTTGACAGGTACAGCACCCAAACCTTACCTATCTTCAGAATACCTAAAGTCCCTACTGGACTCCCTGCCCAATCAACAGACCTCCTAACCTCCCACCATAATTCAGCTGCCAAGCTGCCAAACTCCTTTGGTTTTTCCCCATCATTGCAGTCCACCATTTGAAAATGACTGGCCGAGGCTCTTGTCCATCACAACAGTAACTGAGATGGCAGGACCAATGGTCTGACGATATAGAACCAGGACACATTGAGTTACAAGTCATGAGTTACCAGAGTCACACGTCAGGAAGAGGGGCAGCCAGAGTTATAACTCAACTGGTTCAAGGGAGAGGACCATGGGCAGCAGACCTAGAGACCTGACAACTGGAAACAAGCTGAACCCTGGGAAGTGTTTCACTGTGAGGAATAAACCTCACTACCATTGAGTGATCTCATTTTACCGCCCTGCTGCTCCTCTCAACAGGTATACAGAAGTACCTTGTCTCTCTATGCATGGGCACTAACAGGAAAAGAAAAAGGTGCTTCTAGAAGAGTTTGCAACCCAATTGGAGGTTCATAATCCATAGGCTGAAGACGACTGGTATAAGGCAGCTTCATATTTTCATATGATGTAACTGTTCTATAATGCTTCTGCCCACCAATGAGTTACAAATAGTATTCAGTCAAACATAGTGTGTGTCAGAAGATGAGTAGCAGGTCTCATGAAGAGAAACATCTTTTCATTTTTCAAGGCAACGATATGCTTGAGTACATCTAGGGTTACAATAGCAGCAATGTCTAGTGTTCCTTTCCTTGTCGTCCCACTTGTTTTCCTCCCACAGCACTAGAAAAAGTTGTACTCATAAAATAGGCCTTCTTCAGTCTGTATTATGAGGTCTAGTGTATTATATTTCCGTTAAGTAATTTTTCGTTGGTTTATACTTGGCCCAGTGAATGAAAGGGGAAATTGCTGTTCAAATAATACTTAGTAGTAATCAGTATAAAGACAGAAGGAAAGCAAGTGTTTGTGCACATTATTGTGCAGCTCAGTGAACAAACTTGAAAGTAACAATCTAGTTTGCAGTCAAAATGCTTGAATTAAATAGGGACACTTCCACCAGTGATTTGAAAGTTGTTTTCAAATAGGTTAGCTGGGGATTTTTCCTCCATTCTGGTTTATATCAGTGCAGAGAGGAAGACAGAAACAGCCAGCTATCCCTTGACTCCATTCTACTGGAATGGCAAAGTAAATTAACTTTTATTTGATGGATTGCTATTGGGGCTGGGTGTCATCAAGATGGCAATGAGCTGTATATTTTTGTTTATCTAACCCACTGAAGGCTGTAATCTCCATTCTAACTTGGTGTCTGAGGAAGATGAATCTGAATCCAGATAAGATGGAGGTGATGTTGATTGCGAAGAGTGAGATCCCCAGGGGGTATTTACTTCCTATATTAGATGGAGAACAATTGGCCTTGGCTGACTCAAAGAAGTTTGGGAGTTTTGTTCTCTTGTTAGAGAAGCTGGTGAATTTATCAGAAAAATAAATCTGGTTTTGAAAGTGCCCCCTCCCCTTTTGACTCAACTGACTTCATCACCTAGATCCATACCACAGTAGCCTTGAGAATCGACTACAGCAATGTAGTCGATTTTCAAGTCTCAATGTACTTGTGACTGCTGCTGAAGACTATTCAGAAATTTCAGCTAGTGCAAAATGCGGCAGCCTGGTTATTTGTTGGAGTTAATCAGCGATAAATATGGAAAACGAAACAGTGGCCCATGGACTAGAAGCACTCAAGCTACATTCCAGTTCCCAAAAAAGGAGGCATCAAAGACTGCAGCAACTATTGGAACATCGGATTAATTTCTCATGCAAGTAAAGTGATGCTGAAAATCTTGAAACAAAGACTGTTACCATACATGGAGCGAGAAATGTCAGAGGTTCAAGCTGGATTTTAAAAAGGAAGAGGCACTAGAAACCATGTTGCAAATTTACATGGGTTACTAGAGCACACAAGAGAATTACAGAAGAAAATCAGCTTGTGTTTCATAGTTTTTGACTGTGTGGATCATGAAAAGCTATGGTTGGTTTTAAAAGAAATGGGTATGCAACAGCATCTAATTGTTTTGGACAAGAGTCTACTGTTAGTACAGAATATGGAGAAACAGAATGGTTTCCAATTGGCAAAGTGTCAGACAAGGATATATTTTATCTCTCTATCTGTTCAGTCTATATACAGAATATATCATAAGGAAATTGGATTAGATTTAAATGAAGGTAGAGTGGAAACTGGTGGAAGGAACTGTAACAGTCAGTTTCTATCAACTGAGGGGACCCACATAGCCTCTTATGATTTGGGGGGAACCAGGTTTAATTTAAACTATAACCCTTCCCCTCAGTGACCAGGCGTTCTAAAGGTAGCAAGTATATAGGCTTTGTGTTCACTGCTGTGAAGTAAGTTTTATGTTCTACCAGTAGAATATGGAGGTCACTGAGGCAGGAACTGTATATTAACCACAGAGAAGATTTGTTTATTTACAGATTGGTTTCCATGAACATATTAGCAGCACAGGACTCCAGATAGATAAAAGAGAAACCTGGCTGTGGCACATTAGTTTAGAGAGCAGTTTCAATTTTCTTTAATACTTTCAAGTATAAACAGGCTTTCACCAATTAGCCACTAGGTTGTATCATAACATATACACGGGAGTCCACCCACAGCAGCGTGCCCTTTCCCCAGAGTCAGACTACATGGCACAAGGTCTGCTCATTGCCGGAGATGGGTGTAACAATTGGGTACTCTATTCTCTGTCAGAAGTAGAGCCAAACCACTCTGCCACACTACCAAGGATAGCAGAGTTAGCCTTCCTCTGTCTGCTCTTTTCCTGAGACAGATCTGAGGTTTCACTGCTCTCTCCATGAGCCAGAACTGAACTGAACTGAACTGCTGTATTTCCCTCCAACATTCCACCCCTGTTCTCAAAGGTGATTGAATGCTGGAGTAGCACTCCCATAGGTTCAAGTGGTGGCTGTTTTTCCATTCAGGGGCAGGACAGCCTTCTGTCCGTCACAGGAACATTAACAATTTGAGATGTGCAGATGATACCACATTACTGGCAGACAATAATGAAGACCTGATATGACTACTGATGAAGGTTAAAGCAGAAAGCTCCAAAACAGGATTACTACTCAAGAAGACAAAAGTAATGACTACTGCAGAATTACACAACTTTAAGGCTGATGACGAAGAAACTGAAATTGTTCAAGATTTTCTGTTCCATGGCTGGATCAACAAAATGGGAGGCAGTAACCAAGAAATGAGAAGGTGATTAAGACTGGAAAGGATGGCCATGAACAAGCTAGAAAAGATCTTTAAGTGTAAGGATGTGTCACTGGCAACCAAGATCAAGCTAATTCATACTCTGGTATTCCCCATTAATATGTATGGGTGTGAAAGTTGAACAATGAAGAAAACTTACTGGACGAACATTGACTCATTTAAAATGTGGTGGTGGAGGACAGTTTTACAGATACCATAGGCCACCAGAAAGACAAAGTGGGTTCTAGAGCAAATCAAGCCTGAACTCTCCATAAAAGCTAAAACAGGGGTGTCAAACATAAGGCCCAGGGGCCTGATCCGGCCCATCTAGGACTCTTATGCAGCCCGCAAGCAAGGGAGAGAGTGCTGGGGGGGAGTGGGCAGAGTCACTCCATGATGGCTTTTGCGCAGCAGAACAACCTCGCCTGCAACAGTCAAGCATTGTGGGAGCATCTGCCCAGTACTGCACTGCTGCTGCTCCAGTCCGCCTCTGTGGGTTTTTCTCTGCATGCCCCTCCCACCCTTGCAGTGAGGACACACTAACCAGGTGCTGTCCTTTATACAGTTTCTATCTCCAGTACCTGGCATTACGTTTTATGGCACACAGGGCCCAGCCCGACAAAGAGACATTTATGTTAGATCTGGCCCTCGTAACAAATTAGTTTGACACCTCTGAGCTAAAATGACCAAACTGAGGCTATTGTACTTTGGTCACATCGTGGGAAAACAGGACTCACTGGCAAAGACAGTAATGCTAGGAAAAGTTGAAGGTAGCATGAAAAGAGGAAGACCCAACATGAGATGGATTGACTCAATCAAGGAGCCATGGCCCTCAGTTTGCAAGGCCTGATCAAGGCTGTTAATGATAGTCTTGGAATTTGCAAGGTCTATCATGCATAGATGAAGATGACAAGTATATCCTGCAGGGGGCAGTAGAAGGGACAACTAATTAGCATAGTGAGATTAGGGACTGCCTACTCTTTTCAAATAGTCTCCTTCCTGTCTCCTGATTGGCTCAATTGTTTGTTTGTTTTGCTCCTGCCGAGATCTCTTCGTTTCTGACCTCCTCCTAGCTAGTTACACAGTTAGACTTCTCTTTCTCTCTCCTCTTTCTTACAAAGTTTGTTCTCTTCTTAATAAACCAAGTTTATTCTTTAAACAGCTTGTGTTCCATTTAACTGCATATCTGTACTCTGCCAACATATAGGATATTTTGGAGGTCATTAATTCATAGGGTTGCCATAAATCAGAAGCAACTTGTCAGCACTTAACAGACACACTATCTTGGTGGACATGTTACACATATTTAGAAAGGTCTGCACTGTCTGCCAGTTGGTTTTCAGCTTAGGGGCTAGTTATCATCTTTAAAGCCCTTCATGGACTAGAACACTCATATCAGAAGGACTGCCTCTCCCCAGTATATTCCATTATGGTGGCTTTGTTCTACAAGCCAGGCACTGTTGGTGGTTCCTTCATG